TCACCTCTCAGACGTAGAGTTTCAAAATGCCATTAGCAAAGTAGAAAATGCATTTTTAGCTCTCGGTCTTTCCACCGTTAAAATTCAAGAATTAGAAACCCAAACTTATTTTCCCACAGAGCAGCTGAGACATGTTTTGAAGAAGGTAGACGACTTCAAGCACGAAGTTCAGGAGAAAGAAAAAGAAATTCAGGAAAAAGAGAGAGAAGTTCGGGAGAAAGACAAAAATCTTCAAGAAAAAGAGAAAGTAATTCAGGAAAAAGACAAGAAATTGCAGGAAAAAGGAAAGGAACTTCAGCAAAAAGAAGAACAAAGACAGACCCTTGAAGAACAGTTAAACAGCGAGGCTTCTTCATTTTGCATTCTTCCTCCTAAGCCTTCTCATGATGTCGCAAATCGAGATTCTGATGTATGTAAGATTATTGAACAGTTAAAAGCGCTGAAAAAGTCCACAGGATTAAGTTACTTGTACCTATCTGGAAATCCTGGAAGTGGTAAATCGCAGATGGCCTCACTTGCAGCTGAGCGTTTCTTTTGCGAAGAAAGTATATCTACTGCATCGTTTGTAATGACACTGAATGCTGAAAACCCTAAAACACTTTTGGAATCGTATGCCACTTTCGCTCGACATCTGAAGTGCCCAGAATACGCTGTTACCAACACATTTACCTCCAAAGATTTAAGTACAGACGAGAAGATCAGAAGTCTAAAGACACTGATCAGCACAAAAATCGAGCTGTACTCATCGTGGCTACTGATAGTTGATAACGTCACCAACATGTCTCATCTGGATGGTAATTTACCTGATCCAGGAAATGGGCAGTGTGCAAAGGGCCAGTTGCTGATAACAACACAAGACACCGCGTCTATCCCGCCGTCGGGCTCATTTATTCAACATATTCCAGTCAGCAAAGGTATGGAGTCTCATGAAGCCGGCTCTCTATTGGAAATGCTTTCTGGTTTTTCTGACCCCAAGATGGAAAAAGAAGTTGCTCGGGTATTAGACTACCAGCCACTTGCCCTGGCAAGCGCTGCCACTTATGTGAGAGAAGTTAGAAAGAACAAATTAACTCCCAATTTTAGTTGGGATGACTTTCTAAAGAAATTGGACCAAGGGAAGAGAAGTACAACAGAAGCCATGCTCGCTGGAAGTAACCCAAGTTACAAAAAGTCCATGACTGCAGCCACAACACTTGCTGTTAAGAAGACGATCGCAACAGATAAAGTTTTGGAGCACACTTTTCATTTTCTTTCTGTCTGTGCACCACACCCTTTGAGTCTAGAGATTGTTGTAAATTATCTTAGCAAAGTAAATAAGGAGCCTAAAGACCCTGAGATATTTGCTACGAGAATCTGCAAATGCTCTTTGCTGTTATTTGAAGAAGATGACAGCGGTGTGTACATTCGAGTGCACCAGATTGTCCATGACGTCATCAATAATGTTATGAAAACCTTCGCCGAAAGCAAAGAGCTTGAAGCCGTTGATGGGGCCATTCTGTCATTCTGCCAAGTTATAGGTCATGAGGATGACTCGCATACTCTTATAAGAAGTAAGAACATTGTTCCTCATTTAGTAACAATGAGTGAGATAATCGATGGTCTATTTTCAGAAGAGGGTATATCCGACGCTGTCAAAGCCGGATCATCCACTCCCTATGACTACCGAAACTATTTTAAAACCCTTGGTCACACCTGCCAAAAAAACTGTGAATTCCGATCAGCATTAACGTACTTCAACGTAATGTTGCGATTAACTCAATGTGACGAAGTGTTTGGTGACGAAGACGTTGTAAATGCATATGGTTACATAGGTACTGTGCACCATTCCCTCGGTGGCCTGCAGCAGGCAAAAGAATGTCATGATCGTGCAATAACGATTTTTCTGAAAAAGCTCGCACCTGAACATATCGATGTGGCAAATGCTTACGATAATCTGGGTACTGTGCATCATGATCTTGGTGACCTGCCACAGGCAAAAGAATGTCATGATCGTGCACTGACCATTCGTCTGAAAAAGCTCGGACCTGAACATGTCGATGTGGCAAATGCTTACGATAATCTGGGTACTGTGTATCATGATCTTCGTGACCTGCCGAAGGCAAAAGAATGTCATGATCGTGCACTGGCCATTCGTCTGAAAAAGCTCGGACCTGAACATGTCGATGTGGCAAATGCTTACGATAATCTGGGTACTGTGTACCATGATCTTGGTGACCTGCCGCAGGCAAAAGAATTTCATGATCGTGCACTGACTATTCGTCTGAAAAAGCTCGGACCTGAACATGTCGATGTGGCAAATGCTTACGATAATCTGGGTACCGTGCATCATGATCTTCGTGACCTGCTGCAGGCAAAAGAATGCCATGATCGTGCACTGACCATTCGTCTGAAAAAGATTGGACCTGAACATATATATGTGGCAAATGCTTACGATAATCTGGGTACTGTGTACCATGATCTTGGTGACTTGCCGCAGGCAAAAGAATGTCACGATCGTGCACTGACCATTCGTCTGAAAAAGCTTGGACCTGAACATGTCGATGTGGCAAATGCTTACGATAATCTGGGTACTGTGCATCATGATCTTGGTGACCTGCAGCAGGGAAAAGAATGTCATGATCTTGCACTGGCCATCCGTCTGAAAAAGCTCGGAGCTGAACATGTCGATGTGGCTAATAGTTACAATAATCTGGGCACTGTGCATCGTGCTCTTGGTGACCTGCAGCAGGCAAAAGAATTTCACGATCGTGCTCTTACCATTGGTCTGAAAAAGCTCGGACCTTAACATGTCAATGTAGCAAATAGTTACATTAATATGGGTGCTGTGCACTTTGCCCTTGGTGACCTGCAGCAAGCAAAAGAGTGTCATGGTCGTGCACAGACCATGGGTCTGAAAAAAATCGGACCTGCACATGTCAATGTGGCATATAGTTAGAATAATCTGGGTGCTGTGCATCATAATCATGGTGACCTGCAGCAGGCAAATGAGTGACAAGATCATGCACAGACCATTCGTCTGGAAAAGCTCGGACCTGAATATTATGATGTGGTAGCTGTGACAAATAGTTACAATAATCTGGGTCCTGTGCATCAAGACCTTGGTGACCTGAAGCAGGAAAATGAATGTCATGATCGTGCACTGAACATTTGTTTAAAAGAGCTCGGACCTGAACATGTCGATGTGGCGGAAAGTTACTATAACCTTGGCGCTGTAGACCGTGGCCTTGGTGACCTGCAGCAGGCAAAAGAGTTTCAAGATCATGCATATAGCATTAGTCTGAAAAACCTCGGACTTTAAGATATTTATATGGTAGCCGTACAGAATAACTTAGTGATGATACCTCGAGAAAGGGAGAGGTGACGGACTTCTACCATATCTCAGAGTCGATTGTATGATATTCAGAGTTAACTTTGGATTAAACCCGAAAGTGCCAGACATGATACTTCTGGGACATAAGATCAATTTTTTGACAGAAAACTAAATTTGTTGGAAAATTGGATGCTCTGGAAAAAGGAAAATTCCATTAGGCAATCTAATACACAAAAGACAGCCTTATTTGAATTTCAATGACCGAAATAGAAATAGTCGAAATAGTTTGTAAACCCTTTACACCCTGACATCAGTATCGATATTCTCCTTACTTTTCTCCATACATCTCCTTTGGTACTGACAGGAGATTTGTTTCATCAATCAAAGCTTCTTAGGTTGGTGATCATTTCTTTATTCTCGTGATGTTAATAAATGATTCAGCAGAATTATTGTAAAGAGAAATTAGATGCTGGTCACTCTCCAAGGTATAAAGGGTTAAAACGATAGTAGAAGTCAGCCTTTCCATTATTCTACCTCATATAAATATGACTTGAGTATACATAGGCTCGATTGTAAATAGCATAACGTAGGACTTCATCAACTATTCATCAGTGTCATTTGGTTGAAGTCCAAAACTTGTCAGTGACCTCTCTGCTTCATCACTAATCTCAGTTTACTCAGGCTAGCTTGGTCGTCCGTGATTGCCCTGCCAAACCCTTATGCTAATGAAGTAAACAGGAGGGATATTGTGTATATCGGTCTTCCTTTAAAACACTTTTCCCCTTCTCAGCTATTTTGTAAACTACCAGGGCAAGTGTTGAAGGTTAAACTGATCCAATTTCTTTTGAAAGAGGAGAGGGCATTTATCATGAAATTGTCCTAAATTATTAACTAAAAAATTAGTTTCAAAGTGGTTACAAAAACAAAGAGAATGCCAATTTGAAAAAACCAAGGGTAATCATTCGGTGCAAGAGATTATTTTCTTGTTCGATTGTCAAAGAAAATCCAGTTTTACTATGCTCCTTTCTGTGATCGGCCAAGAAACTGGGGTTACCTCCTCAACCAGTCAGGTGGAAAAGAAATCCAGTTGCTTATATTTTCCAATGACTCAGTCTTCCTGTTTCTTCAAGTTAATACTCTCTCCTAAGGTTTTTTTTTCAGTCCTTGCGATTACTAACGTAACAAAAATGCAGGAAATATGATCATATTAACTTAATATATTAAAATATCCTGGAATGAACGTACTGTGCTGATTCTTTTTTTGTGTCTGAGATCAAACTAATTCATGAAAAGTTTTTTTAACTTTCCTTAAATGTCTTACTCTTTTTCTGTAGTTTCCACGATATTTTGCAAGAAGCTTTCCTTTGCTGTAAAATTTAGATGTTGAAAGAGTAAGACCGCAGATTCCGTACCCACCTCTCCCTACCCCGTAACTTTTGCGCATCTCTTAGTTCAATAAGAGAGAATATGGACATGGTAAAGTAGGAGGGTGGTAAAGGGTTTTTACGTGACACGTAAAAAGCCCCAAAATAAACACGACGAGCAAATTTTACAGCAGGGCAAGTTAAAGTGAGATTTAAAGTTATTCCTTTTAAATTCGTGACGACTGTGACGATAAAGAAACAAAGGCAACAAACCAAAGGTTCTCCAAAATAATGACTTTCATAAGATAAATTTTTAATGTTTGGGTTGTTATCACAATAATGTTTTACAAGAAACAAGCTGTCATCACAGAATTGTACCTCTTTTCAGTGGCACATTTGAAAACTGATCAAAAGGTGATTTAGCAAAAGACTGAAGAAAAAAAGTGACAAAAATGTTCTTATACAGTCACAAATAGCCTTAATTGTGACATGTTGTTGCCCAAAGATAGTTTATATGAAACAAAAACAACTATATGTTTTTCTTTTTAGTCCCTAACTAATATCTTGGAAGCATGGATTAACTTCCCCTTGGAGCATGAAGTTTTTTTAGGCTTCTTTTTCAGTTAACCTGTGAAGTTTTTTTTTTCACACTTATATTGTTGTTAAATAGCAATTAGTTTACCTTTTGGAGCTTATTAACTGTCAAAGTAGAATTGGAAAACAAAGTATCTCCTTAAGAAACTTAACTCCTTCTCTAGCAACACTCTTGGCATGAAGTCTTAAATTCAGATTTTAAATGTTGTATAGATGGAAATATGAAGAAGAAAAAAGATACATTGTATATATACGATGCTTCTTCTCTTAGCTTTCTGGAGGGTATTCTGTGGAGAACAATATTAAAAAAAAAAAATATTGATGTATTTTGATACCTCCCATTTAATGTTTAATCAAGGTAAACTTGCATCTCTTAACCAAAGTAAGTAAACATCTTTATCCAAGCTTTTCCTGAACAAAGGATTAATTGTAGAATTATTATTTCTTACCTTTTATTTTCTTCTGTTTATTTTGCCCAACCAACCAACCCACTTTCACAAAAGGGAAAGCCATGGAGCACAAAAATAGTTGGTAGTAATGGCCTAAATGAAAAAAAGAAAATCTGATCCCAAGAATGATAACATTGGATAGCCCCACACCCTAGTTAGCCCAAAGAACACTCTTGTAAAGGGGTTTACCACTGACTATGAAGCATGAAAAAAAGATTAAAGTTTTCCACCTTTCTTCCACATCGTGATGTGCCGGAAAGAAATGACAAGGACGCATCCAAACCAGTCATTAGACACTTTAATCTTCCTTATCATTCTAAACAGCATATGGCAGTTTGCGGCCTTTCCTTACATCTAGGCAGTAAAATTAGAACAAAAATTTATATTCCAAATCGGCACCCTTAATCGCTATCAACGAGTGCTTTTCATTCAACTAATTTATTCTTGTTTTCTGTCCATTCCCACCAATCTTCCATTCTTTAAATCCACACACAACCCACAATTCCCCTAATCGCTCTGACGAAGGGCTAACGCTCGAAACGTCAGCTTTTTTACCCTTTACGGTGGCTAATTTATGTTTTCAACCCAGTTGTTAACACTAAATTACCTGCTATACTCTCCCACCGACGCAGCACCACAGTTTCTTTAGAAACTTACCCCTTTCTTCAACAACTACTTTATCATCTCCCGAAAAACGAGGTTCATAGATGAAAAACAGTCCACCAATCTAGTTAAAAAAAAAAAATTGACTTAAAGGTTATTAATCACAGAACAAATTTACCTAACCATGACCTAAAAGTTCACTTAAATTCAATCTCATCACAGTCAACAAAATATTGCAGATCTGTTGTTTAAAAACATCATGGAAACCTCTTTTGACTATGTACAATAACATATCATGACCCTAACCCTTAGCAAATGTCACCCTTATGCTGAGTGATAAGTACAACCCATACTTATCCCAGTTTCTGCCTAAGTTGACTTAGAGTATTGATTATCCTCCAGAATGGGATATTGGGACATAGCAGGTTACCACAAGAGGTTTTTATCATTTCCCAGATAATTTTAGGTACCCAATTTGTACTGCCCTTGTAGAAGCACTGTGAGATTTTTAAAAAGCTTGGAATTACTGGGAATTTCTGGGAAAGGAAGATTCCAGTTTTGTGAGGGCTTGGAATACCTTGGAATTCCTAGGAATTCTCAGCTATACAAACTACCTATAATTTAAGAAGGGTGGAATTCTTGGGAATTTCGGGGAATTGAATTTGAGGCAATTTAAATACCCTGAGGTCTACATAAATTCTAAGAAATTCTCAATAACCTTGAATGTGAAGGTTTTAAGAAAAGGAGTAATTTCAGAGGCTTAAAACTTTGGCTCAATAAAAGGTATGCTATACAAAACTTACCAAGAGATATATATACATGTATATGTTTATAACTTAAAGATCATGACTAAGTTTTAGTAAATCTCTACATTAATATGGATTTTCTCATGAACCAGCAGTCAATTATGTTAGATGGAAATTGCCAATTAATCCAATGTACTCATATCACAGATTTGCTTTCTAACCTAAAAGGACTGTTGGATTCCATGATCATAAAATATTTTTATTGTGATGCAAATTAATGTCTCATGTTCACTGATGTGCCAAAATCAACACACATTCATTAGCTGTTCCTTGGTACACAACTTCCACAATAATTAACAATAATTACATTGTTATCTACACTTAAAGAACTTTGTTAGTTATGAACATAAGTTACTTTCCTAACCTACATTACTGGTTGCCTTTGTTAGAAAACCTTGGAACAGTCAAGCTCAGTTGCCTAAAACACTGTCTGAGACTTTTTGTTGACATTATTTTTAGTAGAAATTTCATGCCTTAGACAAACAAATTCAACACCTAATTAATCTTTCTTTTTTCATGATTGTTGTTGCTGTTTTTTTTTTCAGTTTTTTGCTCTGTTTTCGTGACTAATTGCTGTAATTTGTTTTGCTGTTTTTATTCTTACAAAACATTTTTGTAAGAGTTCCAATACTTGTGGATCATCCACACACTTTGCAAACATTTGGCATGCAGACAAGACAGAGGTAGTCAATGTTCCCTTTGAGAAAAAACACCTTTTAAATGACGTCTTCAATTTACTTTATTTGAAACTCTGATCTGAAAATATTTGTCAACAAGACTTGCCAGTAATGAGAAGTACAAACCAAGTTTCCTTTCATAACTTAATTTCTTAAATGTTCCAATCACTGGATCTCCCAAAAAATATTACATCTTTTTATTTTTGGTGCTTGCTACGGTCAAGCTTTGTAGATTTAGGTACTGGTACACTGGGATCATCTATGTATCTCTTATACTTCCTAATGTGGTATCCTTCTTTTATAAATATGAGGGTAAAAGACGATTTGTAGTCGCATTCAAAACTGTGATTGGCTTGTGTTATTTCTCACCTTTGCCATGAACACAACTCAAGTGAGTTTCGAGTCTTTGTTTCCTCGACAACCTTCGGCCACAAATCGTGCATTTGTAGTACGATCGATTCTTGTGTATTATTTCTACATAGAGTGAGCTCACATCATTATTAAAATCACCAAGGTATCCATCGTCTAGAAGCAGAAGACCGGTCGGAGAGGTATATACGCCACGGCTGAATGCCATATAGACGACAAAATGGCTGACAATATATATGCTTTAAGAGTCATGTAAAACTTACAATATGTCCTAGTTAGCCATGTTCTACCACGTTAACCCACATCTACCCTAAGTCGGAGAAGTCAGAATAAAGTTGCGCGCTTCTCTTAACACTGCAATCGGCAAGCCAGCGGATTCACTTTGCTAGCCAATGAAAAGTCCTAAAAGATCCACGTGATCATGCCCGTGATCGGAAACAAAGAAGACTCCATTTGGCGCTCATCTTTGAATGTACTTTTCATCGGTTGATCGCTTTTCTCAACTGTTTTGCTTAATACAACATTTCTAAAGATAGCTTTTATTGTGGTTCAATAGGAAAACGAGAACAGCGTGAGTGTTGTAAAAGAAAAGAAAGTCGTTGGCGCCGTGGAGTTAAAAGAAGGGATAACAGTTGACATACTGACTGGTACAAACAAAGGTCGAGTGGCCAAAGTTGCGATTTTGAAAGTTTGTGGTGAGTAAAAATTGCGATATTCGTTACGTGATCAAAATCTTATAAAAGAATAGATGTAACGGGTTGAATAAAGCTTACATAACGCTCGGCGCAACTGAAACTAGAATAATTCTGAGAATCGAATAGGTCACTTGCATGCCGCAGTTTCTTAAGCTTATGCTTTACAATGAAATAAATCTATCAGTAAGGTTTCAAGAATCCTTTAGTCACGTTTGGGAACATTCAAGTTTCATAATAGGAACTGTTATTAAACAAACCTTATTACATAAAGAAGCCCTCCTTGGTAAAAACAAAATAATGTATTCAACCCTTTTTTAGTAAAATCTATGGGAGAGATGTACTAACTCCAATATAAAAGTCACTCAATATAACCGAGATTTCTCAATTTGAGAATCGAATGAATGCCCTTTTCCTTATAGCCATCTTAAAGGCCTGGTCTGAGCTTTAAATATATATATTTATATATATATATATTTTTTTCAAATTCAGATGTCATGGAATCCAGATACAAAATGGTCAAGCTTCTTGTAGACAACCTCATTCAAGGCCAACTCATTGTGAGCCCAGGGAAAAAAATACAAACAGCAGCTAAGTTTGCAGTTTAGGATAACTTCATTCTAATTTATTGTTACAGTTACAACAAGATTTTAATTAAAAAATCAATTTTATTTAACTGTAATTAACCCCTTCACTCCCAAGAGTGCTTGGTTTTCAAATATAATTCAAGATATTGTATTTTATGGAAAAGAATCAACAGATTTTATTCACAATTTGTGTCCAACCAAATTTAATGATTGATTAGGACTATTTTATATGAATAGCTGTAATTGAGGATTAATCCGTGTAAAGTTTTCAAGAAAAGAAAAATAAATCAAATTCCATCCTATTATTACCACATGTTGATGTTAATAATTAATCAAAAATATTTTACATGCAAGCCTTAATTAAGCTTGTAAATAAATTTCATTGAATACTTGAATTTTAGCTGGGTTTTTTTAATTTAAAGTATTTATTTCATATCATTAGCCTCAAATTTTTGCTTAAAATTCCCAGTAATTCTTAAACATTCCTAAAAATTCTTAAAATTCCCAGAAATTCCTAGGAATTTTTTAGATTTACAGCTTTTCAGGGAAAGTCATTGGTTCTCTGAGTTGGAATTCCTAGGAATTCCAAGTCCTGTTGGCTATAAACTTGGAATTTCTGGGTTTTTATGGGAATTTCTAGGAATTTCTAGGTTTTTAGAACCAGAGTTGTTATGGTTGGGAATTCCTACGAATTCCTATGAATTCCCAGTCTGAATTTACCGTGAAAATTCACACCTTTATTCTTAGGAATTCCTACGAATTCCAAAATCCATTTCACAAGGGTCACCAGACATAGCTACCTTTAACAACTCTCTCAACAACAGAAAAAAGGCAAACTGGTATCTAGCTGTAGGACATGAAGATAGTTTTCCAATTCCATAACAAACAATATCAGTAACAGGTTATCCTGGGATGAGGATAGTTTTTCTAATTCCCAAACAAACAACATCAGTAACAGGTTCTCCTGGGATGATTTTAAATTTGTTATCTGGTCTAACAGCAGACTCAGCTGGACAACAGGTGATGACCATCACAAAGTAGTTCTGAAGAGAAAAAAAATTGAGGTCTTGTTAGGAAAGGATCCCTTTTTATTCCATTTCTTTGTACCTCATCTGAGAAATGATCCTTCTATTGACCAACTAATTAATGAATAATGAATCCCAACAAGCAGCATGGTCAAGCAGAGAGCACATTGGACTCTCAATGCAGGGTTTCAGTTCTGCTTTGACATAACAAAAACCACTGGGTAACCAGCAATTGTGCCATCTTTACAGAGCCATCCTTTTTTTTCATGGTCAGATTAGTCATCCTTGATGTAATATTCAATTTTTAGGGTATGGATAAATGTCAGATGAATGAACAATAGTCTCTTCATGTTTGTCCACGGTTTAAAAACTGGTTCTCAGATGGATAAGTGAGGCAGAAGGGGGTGGGGGTGGGGAAGGGCTAAGGAGAGCTGACAAAAGTTGACATATAATGCACTAATTATTGTATTTTACCTTGAACATTTAAAAGAAATTCACTCCCAGAAATTTCTTCCCTAATTAATAACATACATAGATTCAGTAGATTAAACATGTAGAACCTTCATCTTCAGTACATAGTCAAGGCGAAATACAAAACTTTCATAAAAAGTTAACCTTTGGTTACTTGCATTTCTCGATTTTCGTCTTTAACTCATTTACATCGCACTTTTCTGAATCATAGGAGGTTGAAATTTTCCGAGATTTCGCTTAAGATCCATTTCATCAATTTTATTCCTGTGCTTGCGACTTTTACTTTTCTTTACGACTTAAAATCCATCGTTGTCTGCCATTTTAGTTGAGTTCGTCGTTCGCAGGGTCCGCTCACCCACTTATTAAAATCCCTTAGGGGTGGGGTGAGGTGAAAGCCATCGCTTTTGTTCTTGTTAAGCGATCCATGTATCTCTTTCTCCAAATGAACATCCCAGTGGTGAGAAGTCTCCTAAAAATGTAACACATTTGCAGACAAGCTTGTAAAGCACAGGTGAGGGCTTAGAAACTAGGTTAGTTAATACCATCAAAACAAACTATGGTAAATTCAACATTCGCTTTGCAGCTGTAAAAGTTTGGAATCACCTTGACGAAAGCATTAAACACCTCCCCCTTAAAACATTTAAAAACAAAGTCAAATTAAACATCTTACAGTCTTACTGTTCATGAGTTTTCAACTGGTCTCTTCTTATTATTTTTCCTTTTTCTATATCTTCTTTTTATTTATTTTTCTTTGACCAATAATTTGCTTTGCTCAAGCGTTAGTGCTATATTTAAACATTCACTTTGTTAGTTGAATATGGTAAACCTAAACCATCAGGGGTGAGGCAAGGTAGAGGTCTTGCCCTTTACAACACCCTTTCACCGTTAATAGAGGGAGCAGGAAACCATCCTCTTTCCAGCATGCAAAATGTTCTTTTAGAGGCATCAAAGTGTTTTTGCTCACGTGGAAGGCAGCTTGTAACAAAGGAAAGTGTCAACGCAAGGAAAGAGTACAAAAGCCAAAGGATTGACTTTGTACATCAAAATGTTCACCGTTTTATTGTTTCCATACACCAATGTGGCTGACTGGACATCATTTGAAACCCTCTTTAAAACTCCAGCTTTAGCATTCAATCAATAGTTAAAATGAAGCAATGAAAATTTGCTAATGATAAGTCAATGTTCATTTCATTCCCTTATTACCAATTCACTACTATTTATACTGAGCAAATATTCCACAAGGTTTGGAACTGAATGAAAACAAGAATCAAATTGGGAAAAAGGAACACAAAGTTCATTTTAACTAAGATTTATTTCAAAATAAAATTTTCCTGTTAACTACATGACATACAATTAACAATTTCTTTAAATTGTAACAATCATATTGGGGAGTTTGGAAAAGCTGGCTAAAAATGAACAAAAAATTAACACAATTAGGTGAAATAGAACATCAAATGCAAAATTAAAAAAAAAAAAACCAGTTAATTTAAAAACATCCCTTGTTGCAAACAAAACAACATTGATATCAGTGTTCATCCACAGTAAATATTGCCTAAACTCTGTGTTGTAAAAAAACTAGCTAAGATAAATCAACGTGATTTTGCTATCTATAAAGAAATAGAACATTAACTTCAAACATGAATGACCTGGTCTGGCCCAAGCAAAAGAATTAAGAGGCTATTTATAAAAGTATATTCACAAATTTATATCAATCATATCCATTAAGAGAATGAGTTTCAACTGGTAGATCTCTACAATTTTATCAATTAAACTTCCCCGTGCCTTTATGAGTGGTGCTATATCATTTTCACAGTCATGTAAACATTTTGGTATTCCAACTGATGCTTGTACTTGTAGTACTCTAGTTAAAAGTTTCTTGAAATAATAAATAACTTACTTTCAAAGTGAAAAACTCTTTCAAGGAGACAGCCTTACTTGTGGACAAACTTTCCTTAAAAGTACATCAGAGTTCAACTAACTGAACTCTCTGATTGTTGCAACAACAACCATTGAAACAAGTAAATTCAACTTCATTGTAAAAACTGTATCTAAATTTTACCATAGATTCAAGTTATTTTAAGCAAGTATCATTTTAGCACTGTCTCCTAAGTAGAGTGACCCACTCTCTTGATTTATGTAACATGTAAAAATAATCCCGAGGAGGTAAACAATCTTTCAGTTATTTGAATTTTTCTGATGTTAGTTCATTTACAGGTCATTCCCCACTTTCCATTATGTTTCTATGATCATTTTCTAGGGTCATTGTTCACTTCTACTCCAAGGACTACAGAGGCACTCGAGGAGTTGAGTGTTTTGCCCGAAAACTCAACCTAATGAGTGGCCCTGTGCTCTTGTTCTGACCTCTCCATCTTGTATTTAAGTGCACCAACAAATAGGCCATATTCCTTATAAAGAGAAGTGTTGGCCTATCTTACAGTTAGTATCCTTGATTCCAGTGTGAGAGGGCCAAGGTCAGGATGCACCTAGGGTATTGTGTTGTGCTTACTCCCCCCATGCCTCTCTCCACCAAGGAGTCTAAACAGGTACAGCTGAACAGTCAGAGAAGCCTCATAAATGCAGGGAGGAAGAGGGGGAGGATGTTATTTTCAATGGACTAGTACCCCATCCAGGGGAGTCTGTGGCAGTATTCCCAGTGGTTCCATGCAAGGTAGAATGAATAAACTCTGGTTCTTTGTCAGCTCTCTGGCTCTATGCTGATAATTTACAACAAGAGAAAGGAATATCGTTTTGTTGCTTTCAGTTATTTTAGTGTGGAGATGTTCATGAAAAGAAAGTAGGGACACTTCTTACACTCACCTTGGAGTCCTTCCTTTACTTCACCTTTCCATTGGCTATAAATATGAAAAAGGAAGAACTGACAAATGATTACACCTAAGTACTTGATTAATTTAACCTATCTATGTTTGTGGTACAACAGGACAACAATCTTTAAATCAGTAAAACAAAAACAGGAATATAAAACTTTTAAAAAAATATAGGCTTTGCATGAACATTTTCAACAACTAAATACATAACTATAGAAGATCTGTAACTAGAATTCATGATAAATTGAAACAACATAAATATATTTTTCTCCAATTTAGGAAAGACTTGCACTTGGAGAACACATGGGATGGAGAAGACAACCTTGGGGATGAACTTGGAATATATCAGCACCATAGTAATAGGCAATACTTAAATACTGAAGTGGGGAGCCTACCTTTGGGTAGCACACAAACTCAAATTACATTTTGTCATCCTTTCCACAAACTATTTCTAATAACAGAACCAAACAGAGAAGAGAATGTCACAAAGAGCATGTACAGAAGAAAAAATTCAAATTTGTTAAATCCTCCCTTTACATATTAAGTAGCTGAATTTTTAACAGCAGTGACCTTGGTGATCCTCAGTTTGCAAGAGAAAGAAAAAGGTGTGG